GCTGAAAGTGAAGAAGACTTGAAGCACTTACTGATGAAGGTCAAAGACTACAGTCTTCAGTATGGATTATACCTCAACAGGAAGAAAACAAAATCCCCACAACTCAACCAATAAGCAACATCATGATAAACGTAGAAAATCTTGAAGTTGTCAAGAATTTTATTTTACTAGGATCCACAGTCAACCCCCATGGAAGCAGAAATCAAAAAATCAAACAACATATTGCAGTGGGCAAATCTGCAGCAAAAGATATCTTTAAAGTGTTAAAAAGCAAAGATGTCACTTTGAGGACTAAGGTGCGCCTGACCCAAGCCATAGTATTTTCATTTGCCTCATATGCGTGCAAAAGCTGAACAAGGAATAAGGAAGACTGAAGAAGAATTGATGCATTTGAATTATGGTGTTGGCAAAGAATATTGAATATACTATGGACTACTGGAAGAAGGAACAAATCTGTCTTGGAAGTACTGTCAGAATGCTCCTTAGAAGCAAGGATGGCAAGACTTCATCTCACTTACTTTGGACATGTTTATCAGGAGGGACCAGTTCCTGGAGAAGGGCATCATCATGCATCATGTGTGGTAAAGTAGAGGGTCAGCAAAAGAGAGGAAGACCCTCAATTAGATGGATTGGCACAGTGGCTGCAATAATGGACTCAAACATAGCAACAATTGTGAAGAAGACGTAGGATAAGACAGTGTTTGATTTTTTTGTACATATTTGCTAGGAGTCAGAACCAACTCAATGGCACCTAACAACAACAACAACAGGACAGAGTAGAACTGTCCCATAGGGTTTCCAAGACTGTAATCTTTATGGAAGCAGACTGCCACATCCTTCTTCTGCGGAGCAGCTGGTGGATTTGAACCACTGACCTTTCGGTTGGCAGCCAAGCACTTAACCACTGGACCAGCAGGGTTCCTTGATTTCTAAAAAGGTAATATTTTTGTGTATCATGAAGGAAGTGATAGAACAAGCCATGCAGGTGTCTGGGGAAATTGAGTCCCAGTACGGACAGAGGCCACAAGGCAGGGGCATCCCTTAAGTGAGGAACAGCAGGGCTAGGAGGTGCTGGAGCTGAGAGAGCAGGAGGGAGTGAGTAGTTGGGAGAAGAGTCAGAGCTGGGTGAAGGCCAGACCAGGAGGCTCTTAGAAGCCGAGTAAGGAGTGGAGATAATATTCAAAGTGAGATTGGAAGCCGTTCAAAGTTTTCAGAGGATTAGTCGTTTTCAAAGACTTGAAAAGTCAGAGAGTAAACATGAAGTCAAGAAAATGGGGAACAGTGATTTCTTCACTTCCTAGAGAGAAGAATGTGGACTGTGATAAACATGATGAACGGTCACAACACTAATTCATTCAATGCAGAGACTGAAGCAGATGCTTGATCTTGGTGTAAAATTCTCTCGTGCTTTTTCAATTAGGATAAAAATGAGTAACTATGAGCTCTTTACTTGATTGGTGACAACATTTTCCACAGAAAGACTTGGCTACTATGTTCAATGATCTTTGCCGGGCCTGCCTCTTACCCTGTAATAATTTGATTAGGCTTCAGCTGTGACTGTGGCCTCCTAAGATTTTTAATATTGCCCTATAGACAAAGCCAGACAGCCCCTGGTGGAATATGGAAGCTTCAGTAACTCACTACACTCTTGCAGAACTAACCCATGCCGTTTTCCACTCACAAACGACTTACCCTAGTCTAGAGCCACAGATAACATGAGTTTAATTAATGTGTGGGAGTTCCAGGGAGTGTAATTTTGACTCCTTATGAGGAATACCCTCCTAAAAAATGTGGGTGATCAATAAATGAAGTGGGCTTTGCCATACATGAGCATCTGCCTCTGGATGTTTTGAAGCAGGTGACCACATCTCAGGAATGTTCTTGAGACGACTCCAGCTCTGTGTGGCACGTTGGACTGGAGTGACCTTCTCAGATTCATTCCAGTGCAAAAACCCTCTGAGCCCAAGAAAAAGTGTGCAGTGAATGTGTTCTGCAAATATACAGACACTATTAAAACATTGACGAAATATTTTAAAAGATGAAGAGTGAGATACTTGTAAGTCCATGAGCGCAGTGGTTGGAATTTTGTGCCCTAGCAACATACCTTCCACGGTCAGTTTCCTGCAGTTTGTCCTCATTGGCACTGGACATGGTTATCTGCATTATGTGTTAAAAATGCTCTCAGCCAAAAACCAAACAAATAACCAAAGGCATTTTCTTATCAGGATCTGTTTATAGGAGCTAGAGCAAAAGAACAAAGCTGTCGGTTTTGATTCTTGGCAGGAAACTAAAACGCTGCTTCAAAGCTCCAGAGTTTACAAGGAAGAGCGAGGAGGAATTTTTAGCTGAGATTAAGTTAGAATTAAGGCAACAACAACAACAAAACTCAACACTAAAACTAAGGCATCCTCTGGGACTCATAGTGGAAAGGCAGAAACAAAAACTGATGTGTTCCAGGCTCTCAGATTATTTTTTAGTGAAAGGATGAAGGTTTTTAAAGGTGCCCAAAGTAAAGATTACAGAATGGCCTTGGCTAATGAAGCAGGATCGCAGGACCCACACAGCATTTGAGCTGGAAGAGTTCTCCTTAGCAAGCATTGAATCCCATCCCTAATTTTACAGATAACAGGGCAGAAGCCCAGGAACTTGAAGAGACTGCCCAAGGTCACACATCTAGTTACATCTAGAAGCCAAGACTCTGGACGACCTGTTTTTTTTTTGTTTCAGGCAACTTTACGAGTCAGCAAACAATTAAAATTTTTATTTCATATGCGCAAGGGACGGAAGAAGATAAGAAAGATAGCTACAGTGACTGCAGTCTGAATTGCAGTGCATTTGGTTTTCTAGAATGTGGCCTGATCCCTGGGACTGGCAGCGCTTGCTCTTGGAGTTGCTACCTCTCTTCTCAAGCCCAGGGCGAAACATCCTGGAATCTCTGGGCCTGCCCCCAGGATTGGGGGCTGAGGCAAACTGGCACAGGGGTCTTCAGAGTCCTGCCTCCCCTCACAGCCTCTTTGAAGCATGAATGAGTTTGGACAATCCTAGGAAGCAATGGGGTTCAGGATTCTTCTAGACTACCTGCACATCTCAGCACTGTTCCACAGTATCATTATGGTTGTTGTTATTTGGCATCCTGTGCTGACCAGGGTTCTCCACCCTTTGACAAAGGCTTGAACAAACTGAACCTGTATTTACAGAATAGCACCTTTTTTACAGAACTCTCATGAAAGAATAGCCCCATGCCCACTTAATTTTGTCCATTTAAACCACAAACGTTTAAGTGAGCTGTTGTTACTTTCTTCTGGGAAGGCGGGTGGAGAGTGGGAGTAACCAGGTAACCTAAAGGAAGAGAGGGGGGTTCTGTGTACGTCTCCATTGAAATCAGCAGAATGTTCATTATCATTCTTCTGACTACTCATTCATTCATTCGTTTATATTCTGATTCTATCCAAAAAATGTTTGACAAAACTTGTAACAGAGCATATATCCTACAAGTAAAATATAAATGAAGTCAGGCCGCTGAGTAGGAGGAAGCAGAGATTCCAGCCATGAATTGTCATATGAAATTTGTGTTAGACATCAAACTTAACTCTGTCCTTTCCAAAAACAAAAAAGGAATACACAATTTTAGTTATCACTAAGGGAAAAAAGAAATTCATTTTCTTCAAGAGAGACTAAGTGTTGCTGTTCTGGGGCCCATGCCCTTAGTAAATACTTATTCAAAGCTCCCAGCTGACCCCCACGATCCAGGCACCCCTTTCTTCCCCTTCATCCTCCTACTTTCAGGTGACCTTGCACCAGGGTACTTGATGTATGGGGGAAAACATGTTCTTAGTGTTAGCACATGCTCCTTTTGCATGTGTCAGATACGGCTTAGGGTAATGGGGTTTAGTTTGGGTCTTGAAATTATGTTGTCCAGGGTGACTGCAGGATTTGCAGACTATGCGTCCAGGGGTAGGAAGCTTAGGGAGGGCCAGAAATGTAGCCCTGCCCGGCTACCCAGTCTCCACCAGTGTTCTTTTCCTTCTTCCCAAAGAGCCCTAGACACCTTTATCTAGCCCTTTTCTGCTATGTCAAGTTGCTTTTTTTTGAACAGAGCATCTGGAGGGAATAGAATTCTTCAGAACACACTTTGGGGATTAGTAACTTAAAGGAGTACATATGTTTTGCCCCCTGAAAGTGGGGAATCAAGCTAATAGTTGCATAGACATGGAGAGTTCAGGAACTCACATTTTATACATATAAAGTGAATACTGCTACTGAGGTCCCACCCCTGAGCTCCTAAGCTCCCTTCTAAAGTTGTACCACCAGGAACTTAGATTTCTTTTGGAGGAAGGAAGCATCAGTGTTGACAGTTGCATCCCGTTAAGTGCCTGTGAAAGCTGCCCATTCTTAACTCCTTTCTCCATCCTTCTAAGACGTGAGGTTTGTCAGGGGATATACCGGAACACTCTAGAATTTGTGTGTATCGCGGGGAGAAGAGTTACAGACATCTGATGTGTTAGACTTTTGGGATAGATGGTGTGAGAGAGAAAACACTAGAAAAGTATCTTCTGTCTGACATTCAGATGGGTCACCTGAATATTTACTGAAAGTTTTTTAGGTAAGCATACATGTCTTCCACATGTATTGTACCTCCATAGATGCATATATCTTAGAATGCATTATTATTAAAGAAAGGTATATTTCAAAGTGAGAAGTGGCCTTTATCTTCTATGGTATTGATATGAAACAATATGTCTGGCTTCTTGGCCATACATCATCATTTGGAAGGCCAGATATCATGGCCTGGCTTCAGATCAGCAGCTGGAGTCACTTACTCTTGTTCTGGCTATGTTAATTCTGCTCCAGTGATGTGCTTTGCTGGACCACAAGAAAAACTGGGGTTTGAGTCTTCAACTGAACAGAATGAAGGTGCTCAATTCTACTTGGAATGTTTTTCATGAAAAATTACTTCAAGCAATGACTTGATTCTTACTTGTGCTTATTCTTTTTAAAAGTGTTAGAAAGGAAGATATCCACAAGACAAAGTAGAGAGGAGCTGATAAGAAGGGGAGTTCTTAAGGAATTACCTGATCAAGGTGAGGAAATTAATCATACGTTTAAAATAATTTGATCCTTCATTCTTTGATCTTTCGTTCCATTTGCTTTGAAATTTAAGATGATTGTGGCCTGTGGCAGATAAAGCAGGGAGTAATGCACTCAAATATTCTTGCTTTAATCCATGATGCCATTGTGGGCTGTGGAGAATCTCAGGCTTTATAGGAAAGAAATTCAGTGAACTTTCTGGTGAATCCTTTACCATACGTCACTTTAAACCCACAGCTCTCCAAAGGCACATTTGTGACTAGAGACATAGATAAGATACAAATGCTTGCGTGGTCCCTCCTCTTCTCTGTTCTTGAGCTTCAATCTTTCTGTACAAGTTAACTCAATTTTGAGTACATGCCAAGTTTTAGCTTGGTTCATGCCTTGTTTGTTTGATAAGACTACCAAGAAAAGAAAACAGTGAAACGAGATGGTAAACGTATCTCTCATCCTGTACACTCTATAATACACTCAAATGTATGATCAACAAGGCGTGAATGAGCAAATGAAATTAATTTGCTTTACGCATTCTCTCAAGCAATTTTCCCAGTACTGCTCGTTTTCATTTCTCTGAATCTAGTTGCCTCTCGCCTTTTTGCTAACAGTTATTATTTCCAAGTATTCTTTTACCTCTAATTTTCTTCTTTTTTGGCTAGCTTCTCAAGGGGGAATCTTGCTCAAAAAATACAGGATTAGATACAAACTGAGGTTGACCCTCAAAAAAAGAAACTAACATTCGTTATTTCTCCAAATAATGCCAAATGGTTTTATTGCTCCCACTACTGTTAAAACTAAAGGAAACTTTAGTTGCAACATTATTGATTTATAGCATGGCTTTTCTCCTTTAACATTTGCTGAAGTAAAGCGTTATTATTATACTTTTAAGGAACAAATAAAATGTTATTAATTTGACATTGAAAAATAGTACTTCTCTTTTCCTGATATATGTTCCTTGCGAAGAGCTTAACATTTTTTGGCATTCACTATTTATAAATCCAAATGACATGCTTTTTCCAACATCTGAATAATTTTGAAGTAGAGCTGGGATATACTTTATTGTTTTTACTCCCACTTCAGAGAAAACAGGGGAATCTGGAGTGAGGAATACGATTTTTCTTGAGCCCTCACAATTTTAAGTATTTTATTTCAATTTCTGATCTGCCAAACTTTTCTCACTATACTTTAGGAATGAGCTTTATGTCTTTCCTTTATGTCTTCCCTAATTTCCTATTACCCTGAGACTGTTTATTTCCTCTCTGGGACATTTGGGAAAAAAATACATATCCCTAACTTTTTTACTTGAGATTGGGTTTGCAGTATCAAAATTCATCTGTCAGATCCCTTCAGAGGCAGTGGAAAAATTACATATCCACTGAAAGTTGAACCCTCAGCCATCAACTTTATGGAATGGGCCAAATGTATTTCTTTGGCACCCTCTATTAGGAAATATTTTAAAGAAAGAAAAAAATGGGAAAATTTATGATTGAAGCTATTGATGGATTTTAAAGAGAGAAATTAAAGGTACTTTTTTCCCAATTAAAAATTACTGGTAGAAAAAGATTTGCTTTTTCCAAAAGTAAGTATCAATGCTCAGTTTAAGGAAACAGTATTGCTTGGTTTTTATTCTGCCTAACTTGTTAAACTATTTGTATGATAGAATATAATTTCTTCAGCCAGTATATACTTACTTCCCATAAATCTGGCTCTGTTTGACCTTTTCGTTTAACATTTTACAGCTGAACATTAAAAGTGCTAAAACATTAAAAGAACAAAACAATTTTAACCTAAACATAATAGGTTTAATCTTTAGGAAGTCATAAATGACTGAAATTTCCACCTTTTGAATGACCCTATATAAACCATTTGCCTTTGAGTTGATTCCAACTCATGGCAACCCATGTGTGTGAGTAGAATTGTGCTCCACAGAGTTCTCAATGGCAGATTTTTCAGAAGTAGATCACCAGGGCTTGCTTCTGAGGAGCCTCTGGGTGGACCCAAACCTCCAACCTTCCAGTTAGCAGCCAAGCATGTTAACTGTGTGTTTACCACCAAGAGACTCCAGTCCCTATGTCGAATTATAGAAATTACCTAATGTTTGAAAGTTCCTGGTAATGCTTATTGTAAGTAGTATCCTTCCCCTTTTCAACCAAGGGCTGGAGAAAATAGTTTTCTGTTATTTTTCCAAAAACAATTATCTTGAGAATTTTTGTCTGTTTTTAGCTCTGAAGCTGCTGTTCTTTCTGACAGCCTCTTCTTTTCTGCCAGTGAACTCATTCCTTGCCTTGATCTTCTTGACCTTACCTTAGCCCTTGACAGGCCTTGTCAATTATGCCCTTTACTTAGTGAGCCAGATAGATTTTTTTAAATCCCTCCAGCTATCCTGGGTTTGACCTCACCCCATCCCACCCCACCTCCTCACCCCCAAGTATGATTATTAGTTGTTTTTATGTTACCTTTCTTACACCAAGATCTACCTTCAATCTAAAACTTCAGTGATTTTTCTTCTGTCCTGAGAAGTGCGCATCTTGTCCTTATTTTCTGGCTCTTTCCTTCCATCTTTTCCTTTAGCTTTAACATGAGGAAATGTAGATGCTTTTGCCTGTCTACCCTTCTTTCTAACCTTCTAATGGGTCACTCACCTTTTGTTCATATGTGATTTTTCTCCTTAGATCAATTCCTCTGTTAACTGTATCCCTGATTGACCTGTTTTCTAAAAAGAGATTAACCCCTTCAAACACTTTCGTGTTATTTAACACTATTTTGTTTTTTGTGTTTCATCTCTTGATTTACTCAACTCTTTTCTGAGTTTTTTCTTTGCATGCAAGTGCTCCTGTGTGGCTTGGCCTGGGCCTTCTGACGTACCCTGCCACCTAGTTCAGCATCTTCTCCTGCCTTCGTTTGTTCTGCTTATATTTCACTCATATACGTAAACTGTATCAAAGATTTAACTTATTTTAATTCCAAAGCAACTTTCTTAATACACAAAACTAGAAAAACCTTTTCAATACACTTACCAATTTATTAATAACTTCAGTCTTCCTCTATTTTATTCTTGAATTTCTCAATTTCTGTTTCTCCATATTTATCACAAGCATGTCTTCCTTTTTCTACATTATTTTCATATGAACTAGATTTATTTCATGCATCAAAGTAAGTATCCTTCTACGTTATTGTTTTCTATCATGTGATAATCCATTTTCTTCTTGTGCCACAACTATTTAATTTTCCCTCTAGCTTTTTTGTTCTAAATTTTAAAAATCAGTTATTTAACTCACTAAAGAATTTTAATGCAATAATGTTTGACATAGAATTAAATTGTCATGTGACATGGCTTCAACATTTGTTTATTACCAACTAAAGTTCAAGAAAACCCACCCATTGCCATTGAGTCGACTCCGACTCGTAGTGACTCTATAGGACAGAGTAGAGATGCCCACAGGGTTTCCAAGACTGTAATCTTTACAGAGGTAGACTGCCACATCTTTCTCCTGTGGAGCGGCTGGTGGGTCCAAACCACCAACCTTTCAGTTAGCAGCCAAGCGCTTAACCACTGCGCCACCTGGGCTTCTTTTTTAAAAAGTCAAAGAAAATAAAGATAATATTTGGTAGCCTAAAAACTGAGGATTTTTATTTTAAAAAAATGTTTTTTTCTGTTTTGCTTGGAACTTTCTAGTTTTACCTTAGTTTTTATTTTTCCTGAGCTCAATATTTATACATTATATTGTAGTACCCCCTTCTTTTTTTTTTTTTTTTTTAACAGCTTTGAATTCAAGAATAGGAACTAAGAGACTTTTGGTTCCTTTTTGATTTGACATTACTCTAAAAAATTCTTACCTTAATTTATTTGAAATGGTGAAGATTTATTTACAATGGTATTGCCTTTAATTATTGTTCATTTTAGTTTTATACAGGAATCAGGTTATAGGTACTTGGAAGTTACATGACTAACCAACAATTGCTTTTTGATTTAGAGCATGACATTCCATGATAATGTATTTTTCTTATGTCATGCCTGTTTGGTCAATAAGACCAATAGATTTTATTGATAAGCCAAAGCAATTCAATCATATTTAATGGAAATTTGGGAGATGATTTCTGTTTTATAATGATCACCAAAATAAATTTATTCAAAAATTGCATAAAAACAACTACAATTATGCATTTCTTCAGGCTTTCTAAGTCAGTCTCAATTTATTAATTTTTCTTGTACAATGGTAGCAAACTGTCTAAAAATTTTATAGAATGAACTAAGGTTAATCTTTTCAAGAATGAACTAAGGTTAATCTTTTCAAGCATCACCGAGTTAAGAGTTTCTGCCAAGATCTTATTCACTATTGAAACTCACAGGAATTGTAGAGATTCAGCGGTTAAAATTAGTTATTTAATATAACATTTAGATGATATAAGTTTTATTTTCTGATGTGTTTTTTTAAAAATCCTCTGTAATTACTTTTTTATGTGGTTTTTTGTAATGGTTTCAAATTATTATTAGGCTAATTTAAGGATTTTTGATCAGTTATATGTAATAGTTTAATTGAATATTTTAAAAATATTTCCACAAATAAGAAAATGAAAATAAAATTGCCTTGCTGCCATGTTTTCTCTGAATATAGAGTTGCAGTTATGTTACTGTATAAAGTTGCACAGAATAGATGTAATATGTCTTGGAGACAGTGGTGCTTGGAAATGTTCCTGTTCTACTAATTGTTTGTATGTGTAATTACATTTCATGTTATTTGTGTATTTGCATTCACCCTGTGTTGTTGGTGTTAAAATGTTTATTTCCTTTTCCAGATTACTCCTTTCATCGTTCAGTTTCTGAATGACAAAGAGACTCATAAGCATTGACTTCTCCAAAACCTAAGAACAAAAACAGAGAGAAACTGCTCCCTGGGATATTTTATAATTAGGATAATTATTCCTCTTGTCTTGAGATGGCAAATGGATAGCCCCACCATAGCTGCTTTCCCCCAAGACTAAGGATTTACTAGCTCTTTTATTTGAATAAATTATTTAGTAAAATATAGTAAAAGCAGTACAGGATGTATTGATCCCAGGAACTGAAACATGAATCCAAATCAAATAATCCTAGTAACTGGAAAACGAATTTTTAAGAAAGCCATCAAGGTAGACATCTAGGTGTTTCTTTCCCCATTTTAGATGGAGATGTAACAGTTAACTTTGAAAATTCAAACGGGCACATGATACCCATCGGAGAGGAATCCACCCGAGAGGAAATTGTAGTAAAACCTGAAGAAGGTAATGGCTCTGTATCTGAAAAAACACCACCTCTGGAAGAAAAAGCAGAAGATAAGAAAGGTAAAATAAAGAGAAACTCCCATGTATTTTTCTTTGATACAGCTCAATGTTGAGAACCAGGTCTTAGGCTCCAAATAGTGGCTGTACAACCAGTAGAGAGAAGGTTCACAGGTTCAAGGAAGAGAGAAGTGATAACTAGTGAGCAGACATATGATTTTTTCAGGTAGATTCATCCATTTTATAAGCACATTATATAATTTCTTATTAAAGAGTTTTAATGAAAGGGAATAATAAAAGGAGTGATCTCTTCAATCATCAGAAATATCTGAGAATATTATCCTTTCCTCAGGAGCCCTTTCTCAGGATTTTAAAAAAGAAGCCAAAACTCTGAATAGCTTTCTCTGCTGGCTGGATCTAGCTCCTGTGTGGGTTAGCATGGGAGAATATCAAAACCCAGAGGGCTGTCTCAGCACAGCACCCCCTTTCCAGTAGTGGGAAGTTGGCTGATGGCATCCACCCACCCAATATAGTAGATTCCAATCCAGGTTCTAGACATTCTGAGGGAGACCCAGGAATACGGCCTGAAATGTCAGGGACTTTTTGGTCTCTGTCCTTGACTGATAGTCACAGCTTCTGCTCCATGACTTTTCTGTGCAACTGGAAATTTCAAAAACATGGCAGAGGGGCTTATGCCATTCCCTGCAGGCTTCCTTAGAGACCATGGTTTACAGAGTGAATATGCTACATTAGATTGAGATACCTACAAAATACATGTCTATCAAGAACCCCACAGCCACAAATTCTTGGTCACTGTTGATTAAATCCCAGTTTCACTACTGTTACATGCTGGAACCTCTTACTTATGCAAGCCTGAATTGAAATTCCCACTGGGTTAGGCTTTGTTGGGGAGATTCTAGATGAATCCTTGCAATGTAGAAATGAATCCTGAGGAAATAGACTATGTCCTATGTCTGCAGTCTTTGAGTTGGATGGCAATAGTTTGTCAAACCTAGTTTGGGTTCTAGAACCATTTTGAGAACTCTTAGAAACTCCTGAAAGCAAACTTCTTTTCCTATGTTCTAGGCTCAAATCCTCCAAAGATAATGGGATAGAAAGCATTTGATGACCCATATTAAACAGACATTGTAATTTAAAAACCATCTTCCCTAGAAGTCCATAACCACTTATTATTTGCACATAAATTAGCCTTTGAAATTTTTAGGAACCCATATTGATAATCTGTTAGAAATCTATTATTTTGCTTTATTCAAATATTAATGTTTATGGAGCCTTATATTAACCTTGTTCCACTTAAGAACTCTGGTTATGCTTATGAACACTGATTGTGAGAAATTAACTAATATTTTAATGATATTATCCCTAGACCATAAAGAGAAAATAGATTTAAGGGAATTCAGTTGAAAATACGCATGCAAGCAGTGATTTTTTTTTTTAAGTACAAATGTCCTGTCTTGCCACCCTGTTCAATTTCAGCTCCATCTGTGGTGTGTCCCTGGTGCAGCCTTTTCACATTCAGAAATCACATCCTTCGTTATGTAACAGAGCCATCTTCTGTGCTTGCCTGCTCAGTGTGGGGTGTTAGTCACTGGTCTGGCCAGACTTCAGAGGAAGAGTGTCCCTTATCAGCCTAATAGAAAGTTGCTGACAGTTTTATGTTAGTGAAATTATCAGGACCTTGATGTTCTGAAAAGAAGATGGCAGACCTCCTAGGTCCATGGATATTTGAGTGGCTTTTTTTTTTTTTTTAATTCTCTACCTAGAATGATTACATTCCGCTTGCTTTGCTTGGCTAGTCTGTACGTTGGCAATGGAAATGCTGAAATCACTGGCATGCGACACTAATAAGGCAGTGCAGCCACCCTCACGTTGTGTGGACAGTGAGCCACGCTGATAATGAGGAGAAGCACTTGGAATCCATTTCCTGAGTAAAAATGTTATTCATAATAAATCTAACAGTATTATGTTAAATAAAAAATACCTTATAAACAAAGGTAACAAATTACTTCTCTGGAAAGACATCATTTCATTCTGAAAACAAGTTCAAGATTCACTTTACTTCTGTTCCTCTTCTGGGTTCATTCCCTGTGTGGGCTCATTACTGAGTAAATCTACCATCCCGTGGCAGGGAGAAGGACCTGTGCAGTTCTCAGGCTTGCTCTAAGTGTTGTTGAACTAGCCCATTCATGTGGTAGAAGGAGCCAAACCTGGAAGTGCAGTAAACATCTGTCTTCTAGTCTGTATTGTTATGAAACATAGTATCCTTATCAAGCCAGAATGAATAGACAGGTCTTTCTTACTGCCTCTTGAAAAGCTAACACTCCTATATACAGATCATAAGGCAATAATAAAAAACATAACTTGACTTAATTTAGTACCTTCCAGATACAAGTAGAGTTGTTTTTTTTTCCTTTTTCTGGTGATTTGTGTGACAATAACTATCAGCTAGTCAGTCATTTTCGTTCAATGGCTGTAGTGTTTATAGCATTGTGTCTGATGGGATATAAAATTTCAGACAAAAGGAGTTTATAATTTAGCCAGAAAAACACCCTGAGGGATCACCGCAAAGTAAACATCAACACTGACTGTGTGTCCAATGCTCCACCAATGATTGGTAGGAGTATCCAGTGCTTCTCCAAGGAACCACAGGGTTTTCACTCAGTGTGTTCGTTTTCTCCCTAGCAGTGATTATCAACCCACCTGTAATAGAAAAATCTGTCCCCTCCTGCCTACACCCAGAAGCTAGATTTTTTGGAGCTGTAACTTTAGAATTTAAAACCTTAGGCAGAAAGAAAATAGATCCCTTGGTGATGTGCCATGAAGGGAAAGGATAAGGCATGTGTGTAGAGTTTGTAGTGTGAATGAGAACTGGGATGCCTGAGTGTTGCAGTTCAGCTTGACTGGCTGTCACCATGGACGAGTGTTATTGGGCTTGATCTCCATTGACAGTAGTATGCTAGGGGCTAAAGTTACAAAGATGCACGTGAAGAAGAGGCCTCAGCCCTACCTCAAAAGATTAGCATATCAATGTATATTTGTTAAGCTTTACTTTACATGTTTTAGGTGTGTATAAATTGGTATCATTCTCAATTCTAACTGACTTCGGAGATTAACTTGTCTTCTGGTTGAGACCAGGTGAGTGAAGAGAGTCACTACTGTTCTATAAATGATAAACAGCGTGGTTGAAGAGAGGACATGTATAAACAGAAAAACACAAAGTAGCCTCTGATAAGTGTTACATAAGTGGCACAGTCAATAAGTACTAATTAAGTTCAGAGGCGGCGGAGTTCAGTTTGGGCTGTAGTGATTGGGGAGAATTTCATGACCAAGGTGAGATAGAAGAACTTTAAAAGAAAAATTTATTGATCGAATCATTTATGATAATTTTATGTGGGATTGATGGGGATGTGGTAAAAAGGGAAAGTTCTTACTTCACACTCACTAAGATAAACTATATAAAAGAAATACAGTAAAACCTGTGAGAGCTGGAACTCGATGGGACTGCCTTATTTTTCCAGGTCTCACAAGTTTTCCACCCTTAACAAGGTGCAGTCTGACCACTTTCCTGTCGTTTGTTTTAGTGAAAGATACTTGCATTCTCCTTCTATGACAGATTTCCACCTTACACAGGTTCCGGCTTTTTCAGGTTTTACTGTAATAATAAAATGTGATCCATTCCAATGTTAAAACCCTTTCTTGGGACATTCAGTAATGAGAGGACACATCTAGTAAGGGCTTATTCTCATCTTAACACTGTCTCACTTTTTTTTACTGTGCTCCATTTTTAAAGAAATGCTGCTTAGCTTTTTGGACCAGAACAGTATTGTGATTTCTTTTAATTATCATTAGTCAATAAGAGAAAGAAAAAAAAAAGATGTGAAGATATGAATGAACTTTCAGCATCTCCACTTTCAGTAATGAGAGACTAACGCCATTTCCCCTCCAGTTATGTACAACCTTGTCAAAGGTTTCTGCTCTTAAGGCATGATTTTTTTTTTGTATGAATTTTGACCTTTAACTTTTGAAAAATTGTTATTTGTGCTTATATTACAAAATAAATTTATTTGTTTGTTTTTTTGGATTCTGAGCCCTCTATAACTATTGGAAAAGGTCAGAAGAAGTTATTCTAAAATGGAAGCCACCCTGCTATACTATACTAGGAGAACTTGAGAACATTTTAATAGTAGAAAATAGTTCATTCTTCAGTGTGTTGTACCTGTGTAAAAGATTCTACAGAGTCTACCTTAGCTTAGAAAATAATTGATTTTGACCCCAGTGAGCCTGAGTACAAATTCCTTTTGGGTTGACTGGGCTTAAATCCCCCTGAGAGAATGGAAGCCTCTTGGGGAAAGTAAGGTAGGTAATTGTCTGCAAGAGTTGAGTCCAGTCATTGCTGCCTCTGTCAGTCCTTATCCCGTGTCAGTGTGTGTAATACGCTGATCTTTCATCTCAGAGGCCTTGCCCTTTTTGCTTAATTGTTAAATTTGTTCAGTTTAAGTTTAGCAGTTATGCCCAAGTCATCATGCAGTAACCACAGATTCGAGGCTGGGATTGGCCAGTTTGTAGACATTTACACTCATCCTCAGCAGAACTTCATCAAAGTAACTTCCATAACCCTGTTATCAGAGTACTTGGGGACACGCCTCAGTTTGGCTTTCAACCTTTGTTTTTACCCTAAACTTTGCTCTCTTGGGTACATAACTCTGTGCTGGTTCCCAAAGGCCAAGCAGCTCCTTGTTTGTATCACTGTTGCCATATGTCTTGCTCTTTGTGTTTATATGGTGTGTGTCTGTATCAGTCTGCTTCTGTTCACTTTCTCATTTGTAGAGCACACTGAAAACCACTCTGAAACACCGGCAGCTCCTGCTCCACCTCCTCCAGCTCCTCCTAAGCCTAAACCCAAACCTAAACCCAGAAAAACACCTATGCCTCCAAAAGGGGCAGCTGCTGGGGTGAGCCACAAGGGTGATGAAGTGCCTCCCATTAAAAAAAATACCAAGGCTCCTGGTAAGCAGGCCCCTGTCCCTCCACCCAAGCCAACAAGCCGAAATGCAACCCGAGAGGCCGGTGAGTATGCACCCAGTGCGCTGTGGGGTTGAGTTTAGAGTGCTCAGCTCTGGGATGGGCTAATGGTTTCTTCTAGGGTGATGGCCTTTTGGTGTCTTCAGACATATAACATCCATGGATTCAGCTTTGACACAAAGAATGCCCAGGAGATTCCTTGGTTGCAGTCTCTGCCAGTGAAAAGTTGACCAGTTGATTTGTGAACCTCATTCACTTTTGGATGAATATACTATATCTTAAGAAGCCCTGGTGGCATAGTGGGTAACTGCTTGGCTGCTAACCAAAAGGTCAGCAGTTCGAACCCACCAGCTGCTCTGTGGGAGAAAGATGCGGCAGTCTGCTTCTGTAATGATTACAGCCTAGGAAACTCTATGGGGCAGTTCTGTTCTGTCCTGTAGGGTCGCTATGAGTTGGAATTGACTTGACAGCAATGGGTATAGTATATCTTGAGTTAATCCACTATTTGTACGGGAGGCCCAATAGAAGGTTACGGGGAGTAGTGTGCCTGATGAATGCCGGTGATCCAACAGGTGTTATTTAGACATTGATGGACTTCTGCCTCGTTGAGTTTATGGGTGGCTGTTTGGCTTGAGTTTTCTTTCAAATTGTCTTAGGTTTGCACGTAACAAGCTGACACTGTGGCGCAAATGGTTAAGCGCTCAACTACTAGCTGAAGGTTGGCAGTTTGAACCCACATAGAGGCACCTTGGAAGATAGGCCTGGTGATCTGCTTCCAAAAGGTCACCTTGAAAACCCCATGGAGCAGTTCTACTCTGCACACATGATTGCTGTGAGTCAAAATTGACTCGGCAGCAACTAACAACATCACCTTTGGCATACTTGCTGGATCTTAAAGTCTTAAATCTTTCCACATACATAGTCATAGCCCTACTGATAAATGACAGAGGTTCGTACCATTTGGTTTACCTTCAACCACATATGATACTCAGTTCCACCCCACCACTTTCTGCTAGAGTCAAAACTATTTCAGTGGAGTGCACCCTTCCCCCCAGTAGACTCGAGTTTGTTATAAAGAAACACATCCTGGTGATGCAGTTACAAATTGCGATTACAAATCGCCAGTGATGTTTTGGTGACCTACAATAACTTCATGTAGTATATGTCCAGCTTCCCTTTCAAATCAGAGATGCTTAATGCAAAGTGGAGCCTGCACTGTCTTGTAAAGTGGAATAAAAATACCTCCCATGTCATCCAGCTTTTAAAAGAGCATTAAGCAAAGTGCACATGCTGGCTGGCTTTTTTCCACTAGCATATGCATAAAAATTCTCCTGTGCTATAGCAAATCTTATTTTCCTTAAAATTAGCAGGAACTTCCTAGCAGTTGGCTACCAGGATTTGCCTCGGTGTTGATCTTTTTCCCCTTGTAATTTATACCCATAATGCTCAAACTCAGAGAATGGCTTAGGTGACAGTATAACAGATCTTGAAATGCAAATAGATGTCTCTCTCCCTGTGTTACTCTCATGCTGCCTTTGAACTTTAGCATCTGGGTCTCTTCTAATAAGCTCTAAAATGAAATGTCTCAGAATGATGTGCCAGCAGTGCCAAAGGACCGTATCCTTAGGGACGAGCTGCCCTGACATGTCAGTGTCCATTCTTGTTGGTATCTGTGTGTGCTTCCCAGACTGCCTAGCAAACCCTATGACTGGCGCTTGAAGTGAGGCAAGCACTGATCTACTTCTTAAAAAAGAGCCCCAAACTGTCACCCTGTCTTTGGGAATTAAGATCCTGCCTTGCACAAATTGTCCCACTTCCTCATTCCCCACATAGTAGTGGTTCGCTGTTGACTCTGAGCTTGGACTCTCACTTCTTTCAGAAGAAAGCTAGTGATTAATACTAGGGCGATAGACAGCTTTCATGAGAGATTTTGAGTTATTTCCAGGCATTTAACTTGAAGGTTTATTTATAGGCTCATGATGTTCCTAAGAGAATAGTGCAGTCATTTTATCCATTGTATTGAAAGACGCCCGAGTGGCCCTTAGTGTGAGTAAAAATGTGGCCATCTAGGCACTGACTACCATAGAGAAATGGGTTGCGCTGAAATATATCAACAAGCCTATTATGCAAGTATCTTTTTATCAAATAACTGATAATACTCCTTGATAATCCTACAGATATTCCATTGGGAACCATTTAGGACTTTGTGCATGGTAACTTTGTTTCATTTGAATAATATTGACCTTCTGGAAAAGTTAGTTAAAATGCAGCTCTTGATTTTCAGTCAGATATTTTAAGTTCTTAACACAGCTATCAGTTTTAGATTCTTCCTTTGGTACTAAGTACAGACTTCCCAAATGACCACATATCTCCTTAGCACATTCACCTGCTTTGCCAGTAAGGTAAGGTAAAAATCTCCCTTATATATTTTTTTTCTTTCTCTGTCATTGTTACAAACCGTATAACTGCTTACCTGTGAAGTGGTGCCATTTCTTTTTTAATCATGACCTTAATTCAAGATAACAAGTAGTATGGTTGATTTCAGCAGTGCATGCCATTTTAGAAGATACTCAAAGAAAAATATATAACATGGCTTGGATTTGCACTTCAGACATTGAGAAATGGACCCTTTTTCCTTAAGCCACGCTAACATTAACTTTGCTGTTAGACAAGAAAGAATTTTCCAAGAAAATTATTAGAATAGATAAGGTGGAAAGATTGTGTTTGACTTACCTAGAAAATAATTGAACTTGTTTAGGCACCAAATTTTTGGCATTTTTGTTATGGAAAGTAAATTTAGAGTAAGCTTAGATTGAACGAGTAAGGAGTATGCTTAATGAGATTGACTTGTAAACAAATGAAGATTGTTAACTATAAAAAGAAGTGTTAACAGGCCCAGATTTTGGAGATGGGTGAAATTCTAGTTATTAAGTGTGTCTAAAATAATAAAGCCCTCAGACCATAGAAGGATGCCTCGTAAGCCTAAACCTTGTCACTAATTCAGACTGGCTTTAGAATATCAGAATAAGTGAAGTCTTAAATCTCATTGTCTATCCTTTATTTGTTCTTCATCTGTTGACCCTCCCAATTCACTTTACTGGAGGTAAGTTACAACAACATCTGTATGCAATGTAGATTGACTCCAAAAATTAACAAGATATTTTCTAATAGTTCTGGAAAAGATCCTTTAACCCCTCATGAAGAAGAAGAAACATACAAAATTATAACAGAAGAATTAATTAGGAAAATTTATAGATCATAAAAGTTATGAAACAAAAGAGTATTCTCATAGGATTTTAACTGCATTTCCTAATAATATAAAGAAAGAGGTAGTCAGCCTTTTTTTCTTAGAAATTGTTGAGTTGAAGCTAGTCCTGTTCCAAAGCAGACAGACACAACGAGGAGACCTCTGATGAAAGATATTCTTGGAGCACAGCAGTAAAGAAGATTTGATTTGTGAAGGTGGGGGCCAGAAGAACTGAGAATGATGTTCTTTCCCATCAAATTATTTTAGTGGAACCCATTTTGACATTTTTTTTAAGGAGTATTTTTCTACCTTTGATGTTTTGGAGAGAATTTGTCTTCCAAATGTGGCCATATGTTTTCACTCTGTCCTGTAGCCACTGCAGATGGAAGTACAGGCCAGCTCAGCAAGCTTCTTTTTCTGAAGCTACAGTGATAGCTGGTTTGGAGTTTACTCTTTTAGTAGTAGAATGAGTGAGTTTGCTTTTGACCCAGAAAGGAGCTCATGGCGTATACCCTGGCCTCTTCTGAATGTGGGCTCCACCACCACACCTTGACTCTCAGAAGGATGTCGTAAAACGTACAATTCATGATGTGCCCAATCATGTCCTACAACCTCTTAGCTACTGATGTCTGTCCTCCAGTTATAACCTCCTTTCCTCAAAGCATAAAGGGCTTTTTCAGGTGACTCAAAAGACAGATAGCTGAGGATTTTCCCTTTGGTTGGATTTTCCCAGCCAAAGACGAGAGGAGGGAGAAGACAGAGGGCTCTTGTTTCATAGGGTTTTGCCATAAGCATCACTTGCTCTCTTCTAGGTTGGAGGCAGGGAGGACAGGGAGGGAACAGAAAACAAAACCATTGTCATTATTGGCCTATTTTTTTCTTACTCATTTATTCAACAAATTTTTTTAATTTTTAAAGGGAATTTGGTAAATGTCATTGACAGTAGCAACTCAGTTACTTTATTTAAAAGACGTGTTATGTTCTTTTATTTTTAATGTAAAATTTTTCTCTTATTTTAGCTGGTTCCTCTCATTCAAAAAAAACAAGTGGCTCCAAAGCATCCACTTCACCATCTATTTCATCCACCTCATCTCGTCCTAAAGCTTCCAAGGAGACAGTTTCTAGCAAAACAGGGACAGTGGGAACCACAAAGGGCAAGAAAAAAACTGGCAAGCAGCCATCCTCTCGACCGTCTGCAGATGCAGCTGCCTCTGGTACATCCAGTCTTAAAGGGGATCCTTCAGAGACCAGAGCAGAGAGCCTCAAACCCGAGCAGACTGTCCCTGGGACCGAGGAGCAGACCACAGGCAAATCCAAGTCCGTGGTCCCCCCACACCCCGTGGCTCCACTGCCTCTTCCCCCTATCCCTCCTCTTCCTCCTGAGGATCAGTGTGTTACTCCCTCAGACACTCCCATCATCCTGGTCAGCAATGGGGCTGACCTACCTGCCTCTGCCTTAGACCCAAGTAGGCTTCTGTGGACTGAAGAGCCGACCAACAAAACCACTCTCCACCCAGGCACTGGCTTAAGTAGCAGAGAAAATGCAAAATGGTGAGTTGGGGGCACAAACCCCATATTCCAGCTGCATTCCATATGAAACTGAGTGCCAAAGATCACTAAGCCATTCTGTTTGAAATGCAGGAACCTCATTTGTTTTCATTTACTGTTTAATCCAGTGAACATTAGGTAAGCACATATGTAATCCAACCATTCGTTTTCCACAACGTGCCCCCGGAATGGGCTGCTGGAGAAAATGGCATTTGTAATGCTGAGGAACACCACTTCACATCTGCTGTTTTCAAGGACATTTAGAACCTGCTTCATACGGCTCAGCAGTCCTTTTCCTTGTCCCCAGCCAGTTCGATCGACTGCTAACTGAAAGGTCGGCGGTTCAAAACCACCAGCAGCTCCACAGGAGAAAGATGTGGCAGTCTGCTTCTATAGAGATTTACAGCCTCAGAAACCCTACGGAGTTGCTATGAGTTAGAATTGACTCGAAGGCAGTGGGTTTGGGGTTGTTGGGTTTTTTTTGTGTGTGGCGGGCGGGGGCAGGGGGTGTTTAGCCAGTTCCCTTCTTTTTCCTTACAGTGATTATTTCAGATCTTTACCACTTCTGTCCAGATTGCTTTCTCACACCTGCTCACCTTCATTTCAATAAGTTACTTCGCTTTCTCCTTCTCCAGGAAAATAAAAGCCACCAGGAAAGAACTCTTTGAAATGCCAGCTCCTTTTTTCTCCAAACTTAAAGTGTCTCCCTTTCTTGCTCCCTCAATTCCCAACCTAGCTCAAATGTCATCTCCTCTGTGAAGCCTTCTAAGACTCATCTAGGCAGATTTGGTTACGGCTCTGACAGCTCTTTTTTTCTGCCTGTGGGACTGGACTAGCCAATGCATCTTATTGCCTCTATGTATTTAGCAACCAGAGGGGGCAGTGGTAGTTCTGCACCTCATGCACAGCCACTACCCATCTGTCAGTGGAGGCTTGCATGTTGCTATGATGCTGAACAGGTTTCAGCGGATCTCCCAGACTAAGACAGAGTAGGAAGATAAGCCTGGTGATCTACTTCCAAACATCAGTCATTGAAAACCCTGTGAATCACAGCAGTCTGATCCACAACCAATCTTGGGGATGGCACAGGACCAGGCAGTGTTTCGTTCCATTGTGCGTGGGGTTACCGTGCATTAGGGGCCAACTCAGCAGCAGCTAACAACATCTAGGAACCAGTACTGAATCTGCTATGCCATAGACACTTAAGAAATGTAAAGTGAGCTAAGAAGGTTATTGGAAAAGTTAGCCAACTTCAATGTAATGGAAGCAGTATTATAAATGAAACAACCCTGCTGCTGGATTTTATAAATAGAATATAATGTAAGGTAAAAGATAATAGCCAAGTGATCTCAGTTTAGTTTGAGAAGAAAGCCAAACAAAATGGGCCAAGGAACTGGATGTTGCCCTTGATGACGCCACCATCATCCCGGTACCCAAGTCAGAAACCTGGGATTCGTCCTAGGGTCTTCATTCTCCTCCATTCCCTGCATCTAATCAGTCACAAAGTCCTACACATTTTCTACTTACAGGTAGATAACACGTTCGCTCTCCTGTCCCACAGGTATGAAGGGAGGGCTGTTGGAGTCTAGTAGATATAATAACCAATTCAATTTAGAGAAGATTTGGAGCTTTGAAACTTAGCCTCTCTAACGTATTTCTAAGAATAAATCCTAATCAATCAATAAATCTAATCATCTAATTTAATATGCTGTCTTAAAAAATTTTTTGTCTTGTTAGACTTTTTAAAAAAATTTAGTACATTAACTTAGCTGATTTTGGTCAAAAATAAAATATTATCAACTTTATTTAATTGCTGATGATAATAACTGGCATGGAATACTTACTTAATGTCAGGAATGAAGCTCTGTTCATGTGTTGCCATTTAATTCAGAGTCTTCTCTAAAACAGTTACTAAATTTATCCCTGTTCATAGATGAGAAAACTGGTGCTGAGAGAGGTAAAATAATTTGCCCAAGATTACCCAGTTAGTAAGTGACAACATCACCAAATGTCATGCTCTAAATAGTTTTCATAAATTTTCCAAAGCAATTGCTTCTACCTCTTCTCCTATGTCTTTTCTTTTATTTTTTAAATCATTTTGAGGGCCATCATTTGAAGGAAAGCAATAGAAAGATAGGTAAAAATCAAGTTACAAATTATTTTATTTGAGTTTGACATTTTAACAAAAGACGTGGGAAAAGAAGATATTGAAATGAACGGCTGTGGTGACCTTAATGCTTCTAGCGCATTGCAGGTGTCTTCATTTAATTACAGTGAATGTTTTCCAGCGTCACAGTCACGCTCAACCTTTAGAACTGAACATTCGTTCTTTCAGCATATATATTTTACTTACCTTTGGTGTGCTGAACGGCGTGCTAAGCACCAAGGATGCAAAAGTGAGCAAGAGAGAATACTGGAGTATTTGGTATCAAAATACTGTCCAGCATGCCCAGGAACCTTAAGGGGGAAAATATGAGAGCTAAGTCATGAGCTGATTGATACAAATTTGAGGTGTGTGTGTTTAAGATAACGTCTGAATTTTGGGGCAGTGCATGGGTTTATTGTTCAGTATACTGAATTGCAAGGTCCATAAAAGGTACTTCCCTAGATAAAGTCTTAAGTACTGCAAGAACTCATGTCCAAAAGTGACTTGAGTGTGTTCAGTTCATCTCCACAAATATTTATGGAATGCACTGTATGGTGCTTAGTGCCATACTGCATCTCACTGCTGTGGAGTCGATTCCAGCTCATAGTGACCCTGTATAACAGAGTAGAACTGCTCCATAACATTTACAAGGTTGTAGTCTTTATGGAAGCAGACTGTCTCATCTTTCTCTGGCGGAGCAGCTTGTCGGTTCGAACTGCTGACCTTTCAGTTAGTGGCTGAGTGCCTTAACCACTGTGCCACCAGGACTCCTCTGTTCTGCATGCTGGGGCTTAATCACAGTCTTCAGCCAAGTCTGTGAAGGATTGTCAGACCAAGAGGTGAGCATCTGCTCTCCATTTCCACAGAGACTGTGATCACAGGGAGTGAGCTTAGGAACATCATTAGACATTGAGGATATTTTGAGAGTTTTCCTGTCAGCCAGAGTGACTATAATGCCTTCCTGGAAGAAGTCATAGAGATTTTCTTCTCCATATATTCTTCAACATAGAAATTTAACATTTCATCCCACAGGAGTGGCTGTGTTTGCTCTTGAATGAGTGAGCCTGGAATAAGTAGCTTCTCAAATTTTCCTCCAAATTCTTTTCCTCTTTTAAGTGGGTATTTGAATTAGAATTTCTGGATCTTAGTCACTTGCTTTACTTAGAACTCTCCCTCGGTTATATTTAGTCAACTGATGTGTGAAAATCCTGTCATTATATAAAGAGGCTTCTGTTTGGAATACAAATATCAAAACTTTAAAGAGGACAAATGACTAGGTGTAAAAATACCTACTTCTGTTCCCATATCACAGGGTAGTAACTACTTGGTAGACTTCTATTCATTGGCAGCTTCATCAGTAACATATGTATTTGCTATAATTTAAGGCAGAAACTAATAAGCACCTGTTAAATCTATGTTTAATGGGTGGACTAAGTCTAAAATTGGGTTCTAGATTGGATTTACCACTTTGGTTAGCCAACTCACAGGGCCTTCCTCAGTTCCGTGAACCATAAGTTGCCCACTTTGCTTGTACTGTTGCTGTTAGCTGCTATCGAGTTGGCCCAAACTCATGGTGACCCCACGTACAATGAAATGCTGTCCAGCTGCACCATCCCCATGATGTTTGGTAATTGGACCATTGTGATCCATAGGATTTTCATTGGCAAATTTTCAGAAGTAGATTTTCAGACTTTTCTTCCTAGTCCGCTTAGTCTGGAACCTTCGCTGAAACCTGTTTAGCATCATAGCAAAATGAAGCCTCCACTGATAGACAAATGGTAGCTGTACATGAGTCAGGAATCAAACCTGGGGCTTCTGCATTGAAGAAGAGAGTTCTACCACTGAATCTCACCCTTGTACCATAGAGCAGTTGTAAGTGGGAAATGTATGCAGAACTCTGAAAACTGCAAAACATTTTTTAAGGGACGTACGATGAGATTAAAATAATGATCAATATAATAAATTAGTGAACAATAACAGGAACAAATTGTTGTTGTTAGGTGCCGTCAAGTCAGTTCCAACTCGTAGCAACCCTATGTAAATACCAGGGTTCAACTCTTAAGTATCTATTGTTCTATTATCCAGAATGTATTATTAATTGGTATATCTTTTAAATGTGCTGTGGTCACCCACAGTGGCAGACTATTCCAACAAGAATGACCTTGTTTGCCAGTGGCAATTGACTAAAAATCCACACTGTGGACATGTTTTCCCATGAAAATAGATCTTCTCTTATTTAAAGTGAAATTTCATGTTTCTTTCTCTGAGAGCAAGAATTTATGCCGTTGGCTTTTTCTAATAAGTGAAAAATAGAGAATTTTAAGAGCACCTAGGCTTATAATTACAAAGCAGAATTTTTAATACTTCATATTCTGACAAAGTTTACCTGTTTTTATTATTCAGTGACCTTTTTTTTTTGGTTTTTTGGGTAGTGAAAACCAGGTACATGTTTTACACTAAATAGTCTTTCAGAAGTGTGACATCTAAATTTGTGTTCTTCTGTTTATATCAGAAAGCAATTTGGGAGCTCTTCTGTATCTTAAAATAAAGATTACATTTGTTTCAAATACGTTTTTATATATAGTTTTTATACTAGTCTTTGAAAATTGGCAAACTTTGTATCATATTTATAGTAACTTTCTTAACCAGAGACTCTTACCAAGCTAAATAGAAAATTGTTGCATCCTTACACATCGCCTTTCTTGTAGAGTTCATTTTGCTTTCTCACTTTCCAGCTTATATTATTCATCTAGTCTGGTGAGAGGTAGTTTTACAAATGCAGAAACTAAAGCACAGAGAGGACTTGTGAGTTTCGACTGCTGACACACTGGCTGTGATGAAAATAGAGTTCATTCATGTATTAATTAAAGATGTACTTTTCTGTCCACTGCTGGGCTAGGTGCTGGAGTGAAAAACAATATGAGTTCCACGTATCAGGGAACTCATAGAGGTCGAGATCACCACCCGTCTATCAGTTTGTCATACTGTAGTGGCTTGCATGTTGCTATGATGCTAGAAGCTATGCCACCAGTATTTCATATACCAGCAAGTTCACCTGTGGTGGACGGTTTTGGCAGAGCTTCCAGACTAAGACTAGGAAGAAAGTCCTGGCAATCTACTTCCAAAAATTAGCCAATGAAAACCCTATGTATAGTATGGACTCAAACATACCAATGATCATGAAGATGGCACAGAACCAGACAACATTTCCTTCTGTCATACATAATGTCACCATGAGTTGGAGCTGACTTGACAGCAGCTAACAACAACAACAGAGATTGAAAAGGCAGGCGTGTAGTAGGTGACTGAAGTGCAGCATGCTGAGTGCTCTGATGGGGTTGTCTTCGGGTCACCATGGGAGCAGAGAGGAGGAGCAAGGAATTAGATGGAAGGCCGGTGAAGTATCCTTGAAGGAGCTGAAGCTTTCCCTGAGACTTGAAGGATAATTAGGAGTTACAGGTGCAGACAAAGTCAAATGCTTATAACCCATTATTCTTTCCACTGAACCCTCATGACTATGAAAAAATAAATTTGTAAAATATAGGTTGCCACATTCACATACTAAATATATTATTAGACACCATCTAGTCAAACGTCTTGACTTGACAGATGGTGAATCTAAAATCTTGAGGATTGAGTAATACAGCATTGCTCTTCCATTTCAGTGACTTTGACTGGCCTGTACCTGGCTTCTGTTGTGCCCAGCCTGAAGGATGCCCATGAAACTAGAACTCCTTCTTACGGGTTGGCATAGTCCCCAGAGGGTTGCTCTGAGCTTCACATCATCCCTGTGTTTTTGTGCCTTTTACAGTTTCACAACCAAAGATGAGCTGGGGAAGGCAGCACCTCAGCTCCTGATTCCTGGGCTGTTGGGAGAATCTTCAGAATCCTTCAGTGCCCCGGAGGATGAAGGTCAAAGGGACTACCAGGCCAATGACTCTGATTCTGATGGGCCTATTTTGTACACCGATGACGATGAGGAAGAGGATGAGGATGAGGATGAGGATGGCAGTGAAGAAAGTAAGACTTTTTTTAAGGAGTAAAGAGAAGAGTAGGTGGTGGAGAGAAGCAGCTGAGTTCTAGACTCAGTTCTGGGTTCTAGACTGAACTTGTCACTTTGGTTGGGCACCTCACGTGGCCTCCCTCAGTTCCTTGAGCCATAAATTATCTGTTCTTCTTACACTGTAGAGCAGTTGTAACTTGGAAATGTATGCGGAACTTTTTGAACAAAAGCAAATATCTGATGTTTTCTTTCCTCTCATTTTCTAAGATTTAGCTTGTGATTACAGGCCTTTCTGGAAGATGATTCCACAGGGCAGGGCAGGTCTATGAGGTGGATGTGCATATTTGTATTTGTACAAAGAATCAAAGCCCTCTAATGATAGAGGCCTTTCTCGGAGTCATCAAAGATGACCTTTCCATCTGGGATCATTCTTGAATGAAGAATGTCAATGCAGGATTCATTGGATTACTCACTGGAGGTGTTGGAGAGCTTCTTCTCACTTTTATGCTGGGGTTTCAGGAGAGCAGAAGGAGCACTGGTGGCACGATGATGAAGCAGTGGCTACTAACCAAAAGGTCAGCAGTTCTAACCCACCAGCGGCTCCATGGGAGAAAAGACCTGGCAGTCTGCTCCCATAAAGATTCACAGCCTAGTAAACCTGATGGGGCAGTTCTACTCTGTCATATAGGGTCTCTGAATCAGAATTGACTCAACGGCAAACAACAAAGAAAGAAGGAGAAATAAGTCAAGAATGACAAATGCGTTTTAAGAATTAGAAGCAAGCGCTCATCCACAGTAAGATGGTATGTCTTCTAAGAACTAATGATTGTAAAGTGGATAAACCCAACCATTTTTTAGGGAATAGAAAAGTGCTATTTCATTTGGTTTGGTTTGCTTTTAACTTCTGAACAGGGTAACTTGGGAAAGATTCACTATAAGATTGAATTTATAGATTATGATAAGTTATTACTGTATTAGTGATTTAACAACATTTTGCCAAACCCCTTCTATTTTTTTCTGAGCAAAAAAAAATAAAATAAATGATTATCATCTATCTGCTATTAAGATATCATCTGCTGAGACTTTAGGAATTCCTGGGTAGTTTAGGACTAACGCATTGGTATAAAATGTGGACTATTTGCCAGCAAGGAAGGAGATGAAGAGGATTTAGTGTATAGTGTAAGTAAGAGTGTTCAGTTTTTAAAACTTGAAAAGACAGAAAAAGCATTATGCAATCAGTAATTTCCGTCATACTCCATCTCAGCAGAATGAACTTCAAATATCACTTCCCAAATGACGAAGTGATAATTGCAAGTTTTTTTCATGGTGCCCCAACATTTTTCAAAACATTTAAAAAAAATAATTCTTCGGTCTTCTTGAAATGAACTACGTCCAACTCAAAACTTTTTTCCCTTAAGTTAATTAAAATTCCACTCTTGCATGTGAATAAAGAATTTGGTCTGGGCATCTGTCGAAAGTCCCTGTCAGGTGTAACCTGAGTGCCACTTCCTAAAAGCCTCTTTCTCTGCATTTCTGCCTTTTGCAATCCCCAGGTGCTTTGGCAAGTAAAATACGACGAAGGGATACTCTTGCTATCAAACTTGGCAACAGACCATCTAAGAAAGAATTAGAGGACAAAAACATCTTGCAGCGTACATCTGAAGAAGAGAGGCAGGAAATCCGACAACAAATTGGAACCAAGCTAGTCAGGTAATTGCTGTAATGTTCGTAGAGCACTAACTAATTCATACTTTTTTCCCTCCTGTTGTTCCCTACCTAACTGAAATCACTGTGGATTCCTTGTGCAGTGGTGCATTTAACCTGCTGGTCTTAGATAGCTCGTCTTGGAGGGTGAACCACTTAAAGAACCTGGTCGTTGGTCCAGCTCATCAGTGGCTTCCAGGTCACCAAAGCCTAATCCAGGGATTGGCAAACTTTTTCCTATAAAGGATCAGTTAGTGAATATTTTAGGTTTTGAGGACCAGGTAGTCTCTGTTGCAATTACTCAACTCTGCTGTTATAGCGTGAAAGCAGACATAAACAGTGCACAAACAGTCATGACTGTGTTCCAATAAAACTTTATTTACCCAAACAGGCGGCAGGCTGAATTTAGCCTGTGGGCCAAAATTTACTGACTCCTGGCCTAAGCCATGGACTCACTAGCATTCCCCTGATTGCCACGAGGGTTGAGAAACTGTAGAAATATTAGTTAGCTCCCACAGCCTGTCTTCCAAGCCAGGTAACCGCAGCCCCTTATTTAAACTTCCCTTTTAACTTCAAATAAATGGGTCATCTGACTTATCTTCCTGCTTCCAGCCATTGTGTGGTATTCTGCTTCTGCCAGTTGTGACTTTGGAATTCCACTTAGCTGTCAGTAAACAGTTAGCAGTTGCCATCAAGTTGATACTGACTCATAGCGATGCCACATGTGTCAGAGTAGAACTGTGCTCCATAGGGTTTTCAATGGCTGATTTTTCAGAAGTGAATTGCCAGGCCTTTCTTCCAAGGCACCTCTAGGTGGACTTGAATCTCCAAGCTTTCAAACCTACAGTCCTTTGGTTAGCAGCCAGGCATGTTAACCATTTGCATCTCCTAGGAACTCTTTATTTAATAAAAGAAATTGCATTCATGCTGAAATTCTATTTTTCAGCCATCAGTGTAGGTACATTTAAGTATCGGAAGACATCTGAGACTGAGGTGTAACCATAGGGTTGGTGCGTAGCAGTTCTAGGATCCATTAACAGTTTTTCCAGAGGGAGAGCAACCCCTTAAGAGAACTTATTATGGCTGAGATGTGCAGGAAGATATCCAAGACAGCAGCTCTGACATCTGTGTAACGGAAAAAACTCAGCTAAATTGGTAAAAATAAGGAATCTAGGAAAAGGCTGATAGGTCCTCTTGGCTCCGAGACTCTTCTGGAACTCTGGAAGAAGTTGCGGTTAAGAGTTTACACTCATGGTCTCCTTTTCTTTCAAGTCCTCTCACCTCATCCCTAAACTTTGACCACGAACTGCATCAGAAGAGCCAGCAGAAAAAAAAAGGAGCTCAAAAGGATAACAGTTTCAAGCTGGAAAGATGTTACAGTTCTAAACATGTCATCTTCCAGAGTGAAAACAAGGGGGGAAAGTAGAGATCGGAGATAAAGGACTTTTCTGTAGGACATGCAACTACTTAGTAGCATAATCGGACAAGAACTTCGGTTCCTGGGCTCTCAGACAACCTTCTTTCTTTTATGCCGTCTCCTATTTTGTACTTACTACACTGTATGTAAATGAGTATATGCTTCTGGGTGTTTTGCTTGTTTGTTTTATTGCCCTAGAATGAGTGTCTTAGTTGTCTAGTGCTGCTATAACAGAAATACAAGTGGATAGCTTTAACAAAAAGAAATTTATTTTATCACAGTTTAGGAGGCTGGAAGTCTGAATTCAGGCTGCTGGCTCTAGAGGAAGGCTTTCTCTCCCTGTCAGCTCCAGGGAAAAGGTTCTTCAGCTGCTGTTTCCTGGTTCCTTGGAGATCTCCACGTGGCTTGGCATCTATTATCCCCATCTCGGTTTGCTTAGTTAATCTCTTTTATATCTCAAAAGAGATTGACTCAAGACGCGTCCCACACTAATCTTGCCTCATTAACATAACAAAGAGACAGCCCATTCCCAAATGAGATTATAACCACAGGCATAGAGGTTAGGATTTACAACACATATTTTTGGGGAACACAATTCAACCTATAACAATGAGTTTTGCTGTAAAGAATTTAAATCATTGGATAAAATTTGCACATATAATACTACCTTAAAAGATAATGCAAAAAAATAAACAGATAGTGCAAAATAGAATATATCCCTTAAGAACAAAGAATATCATCATAGTTGATTATGTTGTTGTTGTTAGTTGCCGTCGAGTTGATTCCAACTCATAGTGACCCCACTGTGCCGAATAGAACTGCTCCGCAGGGTTTTCAAGGCTATGACCTTCAGAAAGCAGAGTACCAGGCCTGTCTTCTGAGACACCTCTGGGTGGATTTGAACTGCCACCTTTTCAGCTAGGAGTTGAGCACTCTCCTGTTTGCACCACTTAGAGACTCTTAGTTTATTATAGTAAGGAGTAAAAAAAAGCTAAGTATCATATGCCGAGATGGTATTAAAGAAAATTTTGTATTTCTTTGTTAAAATTCTGAACATTTTAGGAGCAGAGGTTTTGTCTGCTTTAAAATCATGCTAAATATGTTAACATATGGAGAAGCCCTGAAGTTTTGGGAGTTGTTTGTTTGCTTGTTTGTTTTTAAATAGAGGCAAGACAAAATTCCCCACTTTTATTGTACTAAAAAATTTGGTTGCAATCATTTGTAGTGAAAAAAAGATTTAATCATAGGAAGGATATACTATTATTGTACATGGTTATATACCTAGAAAACTCTGAAAAACTGACCAAATATTGCTATACATAATAAATAATTTCAGCAGGTTCGTAAGATGTGAGATTAGTCTATAAAAATCAACAATCTGTTGAAGAAGGGAAATTACATTTATAATTGTAACAACAACCATGTTTTAAATATTCAACTGTTACTTTAACTTGAGGCCCAAAAAATTCATTTCCAGAATTGAAGCAATATATGAATAGTGGTTGTTTTTGTTGTTAGGTGCCATCAAGTCAGTTCTGACGCGTAGTGACTCTATGTACAACAGAACAAAACACTGCCCGGTCCTGCGCTATCCTCACAGTTGTTATCTTGAGCCCATTGTTGCAGCCACTGTGTCAGTCCATCTCATTGAGGGTCTTCCTCTTTTTTGCTG